GATGCCACCAGTACGCAGGAGGGTTACAAAAGAGTGAAAGTGAGAGAAAATACTGAGGATTGGAGGATTTAGGAAAGGAGAAAAGATGAACGGGATTGAAGATAGGAGAGATGGCGTTTGACGCTGCATTTAAATTTTTGAAGACTGTATTCATCAGGGAAGCATTAAACAGAAGGGAGTTCCACAGGCCGAGAGTACGAGAAAAGAAACTTGTGGAGTAGAAGTGACCAGGTATTGAACTCACACTCCAATGACAGGACCCAAATAGTGTGAGTTCAATACCAGGTTAAATCAGTGGAGAACTTTCAGAGGGAAATTAACAGGAGATAACTAATAACTAATATCCATTAAACATGGCACGTGGAACAAGAACAGTCTACTCCAGTGAGCGAAATAAAGGGTTCAGTTCGACATTCCAACCACGTGAAGAATGCCGGAGCGTACAACGGCCGAAACGTTGTAATAAATATGGCGACAAAGATGAGGACAGTAGTTCGAATAATGTAAATAATGAATATGGGAAGTATTTTAATACGCGACAGAAAGTGTGACAGTGAAATCTGAAGTGGCATTGGAATAGACTGAGTATTATGTCAGAATAGGTTTTACTCAGAATTTCATACCATCAAAACAGTCAGGTGCAGCAGTGATGTGATTTGGGGTCATTCCGGACTGCTGAGTGCAGAAGCATATAACTTCCCCCATCTGCTTCTACATACGTGAGAAAGATTCATTTTAGACGCAGTTATATAAACAGCTGCTTGAGAGAGTGTGTTGGACAGTTACTCATATATCGCACATAAGAATGTATGGACCATGTATCAGACGAGCCGCTTCCCACACCTACACTGGCTGAGTGTAATTGGCGAAGTATTGGCGTAGATGAAAATATAAAGTTAAACATGGAAGACTCAAAACTCGTGTTGGTCTGGAAATGTTATCATCAGCGACAAGACCTCCACTCCATTGCACAAGGAAAGGTACCTTTCAAAAATTAAGCCAAATAATAAGCGACAGAACATTTCATTAGAAACAAAGAAATGAGTTTTGAACTGATATGAAATCAAAATTATCTTACATGACAGTAATTGCTGGACAATTTTCTCACACACGAAGAAGATACTTGACGAAACAGAAATGTAGTTCTACAGAAGGATGCTGAGAATGCCAAAGACCGAACATGCGATAAGCGAGAAAATGAAACAAAACTTTCAAGGAAAATTGGAACACTTGTATTTAGAATAAGAAAGGGACAGTTCGATTTTCTAGGATATAATGTGGAAAGAGAGCTTGGAGAATTTGACACTCATAGGACATACTCAAGATATAAGGGTTATTGAGAAACAACAAGTAACCTACCTAGCGAGCTATGTGAATATATGGTAGAAGAGGGATTTGGTGGTGTAGTAAGAAAAAAAATATATTTTGAGCTATGAACGACAGAACCTTGGGGAGAGCTATGACCACCGACATTCTGAAGGGACACAGTGAATAAAGGAAACAAAGAAGATTGACTAAAATCAAGAAAAGAACATATACAGATTGTGGTGAGATAATAAAACCATAATCATAAAATAAGTGAATACAGCAAGAATGTCTGGGCGGAAACGGTTATTCACTAGGAACAATGCAAATGTCTAGGATCAGACATCCCAGTCAATGGTACATGTAAAGACAAGAATCTATTTTAAAGAAGAAAAATATGAAATTTTATTGGAAATTTAGATTCGAACGGATCTCCCTATTCAAAGCAGAAGAACCATTTTGACTATCCAAAACGTTCTCGTATTGGTCGCTTTTTTTTCTTCCTTTCACATAAGCTCGTCAGGTCAATGGCTCATTAACCTCCCCTATCTCTCTTGCCTTCAATATGACGCATAAGTGTTAAGTTTTCCAGACCTTTCTTCCTCATTATGCATCCAAAGAATTTCAGCCGTCTTTTCCTGATTGAGTATAGTAGTTTTCGTTCTGTTATCGTTTTCTTTAAAATTACCTTGTTGCTTACACGTTCCATCAATGGAATTTTCAGTGTCCTTCTGTAGAACCATATTCCTGCTGCCTCTAGTTTTTTCCTCATCCTTAAAGAAATTGTCCAACATTCACGGCCATACAAGCGGATGGTTATCACATAGACAACCAGCACTCTTTCCTGTGTCTGTAACGGCATTTCCGCATTTCTCAGCACCTTGCTTAGCTTTTGGAATGCTTCCTACGCTAGTTCAATGCTTTTTCAGATCTCGTTGTCGCATTTTCCCTCGTCTGTTAAAATGCTTCACAGGATGATGGCCTAGATATTCGCTCTTTGAAAGGCTCACAAATAAAATCGGAAAGGAGACAAGGAAACTTGACATCCACACTCCTCAAAACCTCCTGATCAGAGGCCTTGCTGTTGGACGTAGTTTATCGTCACACCCAGGACGGATCTGTTTATAATTGATGATTAGTCCTTTTTTCACTCTTTCCTCTAGTATCTCGACTAGGCGTTTCCTGCGGTTTCTATGCCTGCCATTAATACCGTGTCATTTCCATATCCAATGTTGTTTAAGATTTTACACACCAATAATAACTCCCGGGGTCACTTGTACTTTTCTCAGCATTAGACTCACTGTAAATGCTGAATATACATACGATGAGAAGACATCCCTATCTTACGCTCTTCAGTGTGAATAAAAGTAGCAGATAAGACTCTATACTGGGTCCTACGCTGTTTTTGATCTTCAACGATGCTCCTAATGTCACAAGTTCCCAGGTAGGTATTTATGCAGATGATCTACGATTTATTTATGCCCCCATAGCAAATGCGTCAGAGCTTACAAAGTAAACTTGGTTGCTGCTTTTGAAAATGACTTTCGATCAGTAGTTAACTGGGGCAGGAAATGGCTTATAAATTTGAACGCCCCGAAAACAAAACTGCTCTCAATGAAAAACCATAGAGAATCTGTTTTGTCTGCCATTAGCATGGCTGATGTTAGACTCCTGGAGAGTTTGTGGATATGTCAAGAAAAACTGAAAATAATGTTAAAATATATTAGCAGATAGAACTCATCATTTTACATTGAAATTGCTAAATAGCTGACATAGAAATGGTTCAGTCGCTGGAGTACCTCGTTCAGACTTAATGGAAACACAGTGAACAATAAATTTCCACCGCTGTTATATGGCTTCCCAGGGCCTTTTCTATAAATATTTTCATGGTAATTGTTCTAATGAGCTTTCTTTATTGGTACCCCGACTTCATGAATGTAAGCACAGAGCTAGATTGGCAACTTGTTCTTATTATTTAATTGTTGAAATTGCTAGATGTAATCGTAAATTCGATTTTAATCTTTCCTTCTCTCGCACTTCTCAGCTGTGGAATTCTCTTCCAGAATCTTGGTTTCTAGCAAATGCGAACTTCAAAAATTTAAATGCATTGACAATCACCATTTCCTATCTCTTTAGATAATCTTTTTTATTGTGTGTTCTCAATAAGTTTTCTCAGTGTCCTTCACGATATTGTTTTTCATCCTAAGTAACACTTGCGTTTAGTGGTTTTATTCCTTTCCTTTGAGTTAAATTATTGAAGGTAAATGGACATAAACGTGGAATCTATGCTCCACGGTTTTGGAACACACCAAGGAGATTGGCAATATGCTGGTAAGAAAATGAAATCTAGGCAAAATCAATCCACTCCAACGTTCAGCATTACAGAAAACAACATTGAGGTGACTTGCTGTCACTTTATCCTTGGGTCCCTGCTACTTGTCTGAAATCAGAGAGTATTGAAAAAAGAAAGAAACATATTATCATCGAGTAAAAGAAAACAAAAACAAAAATAAGAACAAAAAAATAAATATCTGGAATTTGATTAAATAATATAATATACAAGTTAAAATTGAGTGTATTTAATATAAAACTAGGAATTTCAAGGCACCGGAATCCCAAATCGCTAATATCGCAAAGGGGTTTTTGAGTTCTTAAATAAAACCAAAAAAAAAAACCCTCCCCTCCCCACAAAAAAAAAACCCCAAAACAAAGACGTCCAAAGGTAATAAGAAAAATTAAGACGGGAAATAGAAAGTGAAAATGGAAAGAAGCCATAAAGAAAAGACGAGGCGAGATTTAATGTGATGTAAACGTGGGTTTCCGTTAATAGAAAATGCACACGAGAAAAAGAAGAGATTGAGTAAGAAACAGAGAAAGAGAAAGAGAGAGAGAGAGAGAGAAAGAGAGAGAGAGTGAAAGAGAGAGAGAGGGAGTGAAAGAGATGGGTGGGGGAGAGAAGCAAGAAGGAAAGATGCTTGGAGCTTGTAATGGATTTGATTTTAAAATAAATCGACTGATCAATGGAAAGCGAGAAAAACAGAGACAAGCAGAAAATGTGTTCTTCAACAGCTGGAGAGTGCTGGCAACATTAAAAAAAAAGGGTAATATATATATATATATATATATATATATATATATATATATATATATATATATATGTGTGTGTGTGTGTGTGTGTGTGTGTGTGTGTGTGTGTGTGTGTGTGTGTGTGTGTGTGTGTGTGTGTGTGTAGAGAGAGAGAGAGAGAGTGTGTGACAGAGTGTGCAGGGAAAGAGAAATAGATGAGAGAGAGAAGAGGGATAAATAGAGCTAAATAGAAGGGGAGAGAAAGAGAGCAAAAAAGAGAGGGTGCTGAAGAAATTTAAATACAGAAAAAGAGCGAAAGAAAAAGAATATATATACACACACACACACACATATATACACACACACATATATATATAATCATTTATATATATATATATATATATATATATATATATAATCATTTATATATATATATATATATATATATATATATATATATATATATATATAAAGAGAGAGAAACAGACAGAGACAGAGACAGGGACAGAGACAGAGAGACAGACAGAGAGAGCGATGGGGAAGATAGTGTGTGGTGAGAGAAAGTGCAAGAAGGATTATTGAGGATTTTAAAAGGATATAGATATTCAATCAAATTTAGCGATAAAGAGAGAGAGAGAGAGAGAGAGAGAGAGAGAGAGGGGAGGGTAGTAGTGAATAGGTCTTCATTCACAAGTGTTTTGGGATCTTTTTAAAATATATGGAGTTGCACACCCACTCCCCCCATATATATGTATATATATATATATAATATAATATAAAGAGAAACAGAGAGAGAGAGAGAGAGAGAGAGAGAGAGAGAGAATAAGAAGAAGAATGGAAGAACGAATAAAAAGGAGGAAAAAGGAATCAATTCCCGAGAAATTTTGAGCAGGCTAATATCAAAAGGCAATGCATGGCTTCTTTGAAAATGTGTATAAAAGAAAGGAAAGAAAGCAATGTGGGGAACCAAGTAAGGAAAGAAAGGAAAAAAAAATATAAAAGAAACGGCAAATGATGTAGAAAAGCTGAAGGAAATCAAAGATGGAAGGAATAAAAATATGTAAATGAAGAAAAAGTGATTCACTGAAAAGAGGATTGAAAAAAATAACAAAAGAAAAAAAAAGAAAAAAAAAAGGAAAATTTGAAAATGGAAAATAATGTAAAAGAAAAATGTGGCAAGAAAAGACCGGGAAAATAGTATAAATAATTAATGTCGGGATGGAAACATGGGATAGAAGTAAAGATAATGTAGGGTATAACTAAAACGAAGAAAGAAAGCGACAAGAAAGAAAAAAAAGGACGGAATAATAGACGTCATATAAAGAGAATCGATAGAGGAAAAGGAAAGAAAATGAAAGAGTAACATTTTAGAAGTTGAAATAATCAACCGAGAAAGAGGTGAGGAAAAGAAAAGAAAAGAAAAAAAGAAAAATAAGAATAGATAAAATGGGGTGGGGGGGAGAAAAAAGTGATATAGAAAGAAAAGAAAGGAAAAAAAAGAAATAGGATTAAAAGCGAAAAATATGAAAGGTGTTCTTAAAAAAAAAGAAAGAAAAGAACAAGAAAAGGATATAGAAAGAAGAATAAATAGAAGTGGCAAATATGAAAGGAGGTCGTGAAATAAAAGAAAAAAAGAGAATAAGAAAGGGATATAGAAAGAAAAGAAAGAAAGATAAATAGAAGAAGTAAAGGCAACGTATATGAAAGATCGGGGAAATAAGAAAAGAAAGAACAAGAAATGGATAAAGAAGGAAAAAAATAAATAGAAGTAAAAGCGACAAATACGAAAGGAGATCGCGAAAAAAAATGAAAGAAAAGAATAAGAAAGAAAAAAAGAAAATAAAGAAAGAATAGGAAAGAAAAAAAATGAACGTATGAAAAATGTGTAGAAAAAGAAAGAAAAGCTGAAATTTAGAGGAAAAATAGAAGAAAACGTAGTTATTAAAAAAACTGGATAAAAATGAAAGAAAAAAAAACAACAATGGATGAATGAAATAGACGAAGGAGAAAACAAACAAACGATATGCAAAAAAAGGAAAGAGAGACTAAAAATAATTGAATGAAATGATGAAAGACAAAGGAAAAAGTGTAGAATGAAGATTAAAGGAAAGAAGATTAAAAAGAAAATTGAAAACATGACAGAAATATGACAGAAAAAAAAACGAAGACGAGCAAAGAAAGAAAAAGCAACGGAAAATATGAATGAAGGAAAAATCAGAGAAAAGGTAACAAAAAGAGAACTATGTCGAAAGAACCAAAGACAATTGGAAAAAAGAAATTAAAACATGAAATTAATAAGTAGAATAAAAGAAAGAAAAACGTGAAATGTTGGGGAAAAGTTCAGGCAAGCAAAAATGGGTGCGTCGGAGAAAATCGAATACAATCGAAATGATTGTGTGGGTGGGTGTTGGCAAAATTCAATTTTATTTGACTGTTTCGTAAGGGTTTGAAAGCAGGGAATAATTTCCGAAAATCGAATATTATTAATAGCGGCTCAAAAATAAATAATAATAATAATAATAATGATAATAATAATAAAAACATATCTCGTGCCCATAAAGACAGAAGAATCTCTACTCCTAGAAGTACGAAACCCATTTCTAAGCCAATAACCTCTACACCAACATTTACACACACAATTATAATTCGGGATAATGAAGTCATTTCTTATAAGTGTTTGAACTGTATTTTAGTTAAAGTTAAGGGGACAATCGAGTCAAAAAAGCGTACATTATAATAATAATAATAATAATAATAATAATAATAATAATAATAAGAAGAAGAAGAAGAAGAAGAAGATGAAGATGAAGAAGATGAAGATGAAGAAGAAGAAAGGAAGAAAGAAAGAAAGAGAAAATGAGGGAGAAGACTGAAGAGACGATAACGCCTTTAATAAATTAATAATAAAAACAATATTAAGAAGAAGAAGTAAGTAAGAAAGAAAGAAAGAAAGAGGAAGAAGATAGAAGAGAATAATGCTCTAAATAAATTAATAATAATAATAGTAAGAAGAAGAAGAAGAAGAAGAAGAAGAAGAAGAAGAAAGAAAGAAAGACAGAAAGAAAGAAAGAAAGAAAGATGGAGAAGATGGAAGTGATGAGAACGCTTTCAAAAAATTATTATCAATAATAATAATAGCAATAATAATAATAAGAAGAAGAAAGAAAAAAGAAAGAGGGAAAGATAGAAAAGATGATAACGCTCTCAATAAATTAATAAGAATAATAATAATAATAAGAAGAAGAACAGCAACAAGAACAAGAAAGAGGGAAAGATAGAAAAGATGATAAGGCTCTCATGCGTTTGTAGTCTTCTTCAGTGAAATAGGAAACTTTGTCAATTTTTAATCTTTTCATTTGTACCCTCTTACTTCTTTTAATAATGACCCGCATTCATATTTATGAGCATTATTGCAATATTAAAAGTTAAGCTCAAATATTTAAAAGTGCAACAGGAAACTTCCCCAGGGTATTTTGTAGTTGTACAACTGGCAAGAACGTTATTTATTCATTAACTTCAGAAATTTCAAATAGTAAAACATTAAATTTTCCCAGGGATTTCTAGTTAATTTATATTTTCTATATTACTATCTTTTATGACACGGATTGGGAAATATGATAAGTTGGTTTGGTTTGTTTTGTTTTACGGCATATCAACATCAACGGGTTATTTAATGCCAACAAAATTTTTTATTGTTGGTAATAATTTTTTCAAAAATGTACTGTTTGTATTCGTGGTGATAGTGTTTCCTTAAGAATGTACTGCTGATATTTTTTTCAAAAAAATATATTATTGGTATTAAAAAGGATTTTGGCACTTTTATAGTGTTTTGACCCCAGTTTGGGGTTTATTTGCCCATAGCTAGGACACTAACAGGTGCTACTACCATGGATCATTACGGACCAGGGAACATCAATAATTAAGAGGTGGTTCCACGCTTCTCAAAACCTTCTGACCAGGGGATTGTTAGTAGATGTAGTTTATCGTCTTACCCAGGACGAATCAAAATATTTTTATTATTGTACTATTGTATTGTATTGCAAGGTATTATTATTAATAATTTTGATCCTACTGAAAAATTGGTTTTACCAAAATGTATTCAGCTGTTTTGAATATTCCGAAAACTGGTTGCCTGGCCTTGTAACTTGGCAACTAATCAGAGGGAACCTTACTACTCATGCCTGAATAAACTCTCTTTACAATGTATTACAGATAATATATTTATGTTCTTTAAATCAGGAAATTAGAAGATATCTCTTTCTAAAACTTATTTTTCCACGGCAGGCTTGCGAATTAAGCCAAGAATCAAAACCAATAATAATTTGAATTAAAAAACTATATCGTAGTAGCGTTTATTCTGAGTCCCGACAAAGGAATGTGGCTAGAATTCGAGTTGGTGTATTATTGACAAACATGGAAAAGGAATTAAAAACACTTGAAAATGGCTAAAAACGTGGCTGGAAATGCTTGGGAAAATAGTTACTAGTGAAAATTGTTACAATCTCTTAAACTTAAATAATCATATTTTCCTTGTATGTTTGAAAGAACGACTGCTGCCCAACTATACAGAATATATAAGTGAAACAATTTTAAGAAATTAGTATAATCATAAAGTAATTCATAGAGTCTAAAGAAATCCTCAATATAATGAACTGGACGGCCGTTTAGCCATATTTAGAACTCATCAGCAGTGCGCATCCACTACCGAAAATTGAACCCGGACGTTTTCGACACAACGCAAACGTCATACCAACGAGGATCGTGGAAGAAGGCAAACTGAACAGACTCTATATGGCTCCGCTACTCAGAAATTGTCATCCAAGAATTCATGACCCAAGGGTTGTTCACCAAGAGCAACGTCTATCGAGTTTATTCAATTTATTCTTCATCGAGGCCCATTGGTACGGTGCTTGCATTGTATCGAAACGGCCCGTGTTCGATTCTCGGTAGGGGATGTATTCTGTTGAGGATTCTTCTAGATGAATTACTATATATATATAGCAATAATAGAAATATTAACAACAGAAATATATATATATATATATATATATATATATATATATATATGTATATATATTATATCTATATGGTTATGTTGTTAATATTTCGTTCTCTCACGTGGTAAGACGTCATTGAACCACATCATGAATTTAGGACCTGCAGCTGCTATTCCGCGACCGTTATTGTTGCATAGCAAATCTTATGCGTCAGGATATCATCTTTGAAGGTGAATATTTTTGTTTAAATGTCAATATACCCACTCTGTAGATGGCTCATGTGAACTAAAAGCTTAGATCAAGGAACAGCATAATGAAAAAATATCCAAATCTTGCAAAATTTTGTCTTTGTTTTCTCCCGAAATTAAATCAACTATACGAAGTTTACAACGACTAATGGTGTAACATAATAGACATTCATTGTCTGTTATATTTAACAACATATATATATATATATATATATATATATATATATATAAAGAAATATAATTTTAATGTGTGCTATATTTATGGGATAAAGTGCTCAATATCAGAGATAGAGCGTATGTAAATATAAAGATAAAAGTGAACATTGAAGCAACACTCAGAGAGACAGGCTGTTTCATGCTGAACGCAATCGTCAGGCAGCCTGTCGCCTCTGGGTATTGACGTCAATGTTCACTTCTTCTCTCTCTCTCTCTCTCTCTCTCTATATATATATATATATATATATATATATATATATATATATATCTATCTATATATATATATATATATATATATATAATATATATATATCAGCCCATATCAGGCCATAAAGCCACTAAGACTAAGACAGAAGAGGTTACAGGGTGTGGAAGAATTAGGAACAGAAACATTAAATTAATTTGCGGGAAGGGAAAAGAGTAAGCAATTTCCAATAATATAATTCATTTTCCAAATATTCAAATAATTATTTTTATAGTTGCTATGCATATTTTTCGTCCACGATTTAGGGTCTAATAATAGACGATAGAAGAATCGGTTTTAGCTGTCTTTTTTTCTTAATCCTATTTTATTTCAGTATCACTACTTTTTGCAGTACAATGCAGATCGCTCGTACATTAATGCAGACCTAAACTAAGCACCGAAATCATCAATATTATTTAACAAGGTCACAATTCTTCGACAATATGTGCGTAGGCATGGTATCAGAAAATGGGTCAAAAGTGATATGGATATTTTCAAGTAATTCTATATATTATTTCGATAAATATTAAATAAAACTATATACGCTTATTATATATGATGCCCTCTCTCGTCAAATTATAATTTGTACAAACGGGAGAGTCCATCATACAAAATATAGGCAGTTACTTTTCAATCACCCTGTACATATGAAACTTATGAATATATGTGGTTTATGAAAGAATATATATATATATATATATATATATATATATATATATATGCGTGTGTGTATGTATATGTGTGTGTGTGTATTCTTTCATAAAATATATATATAATATATATATATATATATATATATATATATATATATATATATATATATATATATATACACCCTTGTGCAAATTAATTGAAACAACCGCCTTAGTTACCATTCTTTCACCATACGGTCAGTTTTAGATCCACGGGAGTGACAGGGTTTTTATCGATTTCTACTATTTCATCATGGTAGGTTATTTGCAATAGTGTGCAATAATATGAATCCATTTTCGGGGTGTATGATAAAATTTGTTTGCTCTTGAAAAATGTTGCGTCATGCGTGATTGCATCAGATTTTTATCACGTCCAGACACTATTGTCTCGACTGTCGATAAGTTGTCCAACGGCCATTGTCTGCGATGGATGTTACTTCAAGGAAGCGTACAAAAGTTGTAACGCTGCACGAACATACAGGCCAGCCTTACCAGTGAGCAAATCAAAGTACTATAGATTGGCCCGGAAACTCTCCTGACTTAAATCCAGTCGAAAATCTGTGGTCAATCTGAAAGGAAAGGCTACGTAGAATAGACATACGAAGTACTGACTTGTGCATTGGATCATGTTACATTAGAAAAAAACGAAAAAAAATATGTAAATATTAACGCAATTATTCGTTTTGTTTCAATTAATTTGCAGTATGGCCTGTGTATATATACAGATATATTTATATGTATATATATCAGATATAATACATATCAATTATCACTGAAAGTTCTCCACTGCCTTAACTGGGCATTGAACCCACGCCTTTTGTGTCCTGTCCATAACCAACACCTTTATCCACTGCACAATGTGTCCTTGAGGACGACTGAGAAGGAAATTCTGGGTATTATAAACCTAATGTCTCAGCACCATTTTTACCAGTGCTCATATTGCAATTTTTGCTGTTATCACTTTATGTTTTTACCAGAGCTCATATTGCAACCTTTGTTGTTATTATTGCTTTTCTCTGGCGCTTTTTATTTAATTGTTTGTTGTGGAATGTTATCTTATCCTTCAACCAAAATCTCGACGATGGAGGAGGAGGAGCTATAATGATTTACTTATGTTGAGATCAGGTGATTGTGTTGGCCATGGAAAATATCTAATTGCGTTATGATATTCATCAAACCATGGCTTCACATTTTTGCAGTGTGTATGAGTGAATTGTCATCTTGGAATATGGCACTTTCTGCCAACGGTATGGTAGACATTTTAAGTATATTGTCATTCAGAATGTCGAGATATTTATCTGAAATAATTCTACCATTAAGATTGATGATAGGACCAGAAGATTACCTGGAAATTGTTGCCGAAATCATTACCGAGCTACCTCCATAATTGACTGCCGAGACTATACAATCAGAATCGTAGGCTTCACGCTTTATTCTCCATACACGCCCGTTTGTAGGAAATAACGTGAAAGAAAACTCATCAGACGAAAGAATGGTTTTCCATTTCCTTAATTTTTCCTTTTTGTGGGGAGCCTTCAATTTGGAGGCTATCGAGTGTGGTCTCACCTGGAAAGGAATGAACTCAGCTATGTCTACTTGATCAAGACCCGCTACGCATGAATAGATACTTCTTCAGTTTTCAGTCCAGATATCAACTCTAAGGTCACGCCTGGTCATGGGACTGTTGATGGAGATGAGAATGATGATTATGATGATTATGATGATATATTTCGACCATTTGTTTTCTTTTTTCAGGATAGTTGAATATTAAACTAGTCAGTAATGATTACCATAATTACAGACCAAAGCAATTTCTTTCACAGATGTTCTTGGCATTTCTCATCCAACAAGGATTAGCAATGACTTTACATCTTACATATATTAGCTAAATACTATTAGTAATTCGTTCATTAGTTCCTAATATTTTGTCTATAAGTGCAAAGCATTTCGGTTGTAAAGATATGACCAATGGATTTATGTTACACACACACACACACACACACACACACACATATATATATATATATATATATATATATATATATACATGAATTATTCACACAAAACTAATGCAAAGGTTAATGATTTAAATGGCGAGACATCCATCTCGCAAACAATTCAAATAGTACACAAAAACCTCCAGATCCGTTATGAATGAATTGATCCTTGTTTATATAAAATATATGGTAATGAACAAATTATTTTACTGGTAAATAAATTTGTTTGCGAGATGGATGTCTCGCCATTTAAATCATTAACCTTTGCATTAGATTTGTGTGAATAATTCATGTATTTGTAAATTGATTGCACGTTTATTGTAATATATATATATATATATATATATATATATATATATATATATATATATATATATATATATATATATAGGAACTGGGGGTTAAACATTGTGATCAGAGGTTTAGAAATGGTAGCCATCCCGTGAGGGACGGTGGAGTAATAGATAACGGCTCGAATCCATTACATTAACTTACGTGCTAATATCCTTAGAAAAGGTATGAATACTCTTCTTCTTACCTCCACCCCAGGCCGGGTTCTATAGCCTTAGATGGCAACTGGTCTGTCGCAGAAAGAAATGGCATCCTACTGCCGGAAAAAATCTGCCTCGTCAGATACATGATCGCCTAAGCATGTATCACGCATGACAGACAGCTGATTGAGCCATCCCGTGGATAACAGCTTTGTGGAACTCACGACGTACAATATACGTGTAGAAACTGGATTGGTTAGGTGAGTAATGAGTTCTCATGTCCCTTTTGCTGCAGTAGTTTTATGATTTTTTTTTACCAGAATTCGTTTTAAAGCTCGTCCGTCTCTTTCAGTCAACTCGTGATTACCTCCCCTATTTCTCTTTGCTGGCAATGTTTTGCCTTTGTTTTATGTAAGCTGTTGCATTGTTGCCTTTGTTTTATGTAAGCTGACACATTCAATAATTCAGACGTTTTGGTCAAACATGCTCCTGCTAATCGAGCACCAACTATTTGTCCTCTTCGGAAATCCGACAGATCGCGGACTTGAGTAGGTAACTCTTTTACCTGAAGATAAATATTACCTTAATTAAGTGGAAAAGCAAGGTAAAGGAGTAGAGTGCCGAGCAGTTTTATGCCGGTTTGGATGTTTACAAATACCCGTAAATGACGGTAATTGATAAAATTGCTATTTTTGCAACATGTTCACATTATTTTGTATAACCCTTGTATATTTCGTTCAGAGAAAAACGTTAAAACTGCATTCTTTTCCGAAAATAGCCTAGAGGTAAGAGATCTGACTGATATCAAATCAGTCGGGTTTCGATCCTGTCTTGAAGCAATCGGTCGTCTAGCCACACTGAGGAGCTATGATACAGCGAAACAGTCTGCTTATGGATGACTATATATATATATATATATATATATATATAAATGTGGGTGTGTTTATGCACCTAAAAAAAGAGTGAATTGCCAAATTATCCATACGATACAGACAATTTAATTTCTGATAATATAATTAATTTTCCAAAAATTGAAACCTATTTTTAGTCGCTATGCACATTTTTTCTTCGATTGAGCTCTGAATATAGACGACAGATAATCCAAGTTAGCTGTCTTTTTTGTTAATCTTGTTTTATTTCAACATTACTACTTTATGGTAATGTTATTTTTTGCTATCATTCTTTTTGTGATTAATTTCTGCCTTCTTTTTAATCCTTCTGTTTTTGTTGATCTAATACAGACGTTATTATATATATATATATATATATATATATATATATATATATATATATATATATATATATATATATATAATTTTATTACAGTTTACTATGGTGACCAGAATGTTTTTTTCTCACACTTTCGTTTTTCATCACCTACAGAGCAAACATGCCATAGATACGCTGAGTAAAACTTAGTTGCATTTTCTGGGTGTGAGTGCTCTATCAGGTCCGATCACTAGATGTACAAAGCTGATACCTCGGTCATGATGACTTGTGATTTTATGCAAGCACAATCACTGAAGCCTTGTGAACAGTTACATCTACACAATTTAATACACAAGGTTTGCGTCAACCCGTATCATGTTTTTTCAACACTTGCAGCATGTTGGTATCGTCAATCCAAGCCTCTTTTAGTAAGAAGTCACTTTCTTGTCAAATCGTCCATGGTGGTAATCGAATCTGGGTCTCGTCGAAACGTAACTTACATACATACAGACATACTAATAACTGTACGTCATTGCCTCAATTTTATTTTAATATTTTTCCGGGAAAATAAATTTCGGTCAAGGCTAATTTTCTAGGGACTAAACTCGATTCCCTCAAAGTGAAGTTTGAGGACGTTACAAAGGAGAGAATTACTGTTAAAATAGTTATAGCAAGCGAAGATTATCAGTGTAAACAGAATAGATAACCACTGGCCCTTGACTCGAAGAGGTTAAGATTGTAGTTTTCAGGTAAGCATCCATCCTGGATCTGTTCCAAAATATAATAGTTCTTGGCAAAAAAACCTCTTTGAGTTTAAATCTGTACTTTCATGAGGAACAATGAGGAAATGTGGATGATTCGACTCCCTGGAAGTAGCGCGGTTTGTCTTCGTTGTAAAAAGTGGAAGTGACGAAAGAAGCTCATTTGAACATTTGCCATGGCGATAGCGATAACATTGCCCAATTTGTGGGAAAGCAACTGTCGTCATATCAGACCAGTGCGCTAACCATTATTGAATGGATTAACATGTCATGGTTATTAATTCAATTCACGGATCTGTATTTCTTT